AATTAAAATAAAATGTAAAATTATATATTTTACCTAATTTATTATTAAATATTATTACTATTAATTATTATTACTATTAGTCCAATCTACAGCAATTTGAATTAAAAAAATAATAGTATTTAAGAGAATTACAAAAAAAATTGAAAAGTTTTAACATCCTGTAACTCGAAAACTATGCATTTCCATACTCATGTTTATAGGAACTTTTTTTCGTATCTTTTGATGATAAATCAATGGGTAATTATTTAAAACTTTTGCAAGTTAATGATATTATTATTTTTTAAAGATTATTGCTTAGACTTGGATCAAGGTAAATTAATAAAATTGCGTTTATGTGATCAAGGAGGCCGAAATCGACAAAATATCAAGAGACAACTTTAATCGGCATTAAACTCTTTACACTATTTCGCTAACAAGAGAAAAAAAGTCAGTAGCGTACATGCTTTTTAAAGAAAAATTTTCCAGTGATAACCCATATACACGTCCGTGGTGAATATGTTGACACTTTTTTAGCTATAAAATATGTCACATTTATTGTAACTTTTACCCACAAAACTTCATTCGAAACGCTAAAAGTACTTGGAAGAAAATTATAATAAATCGAAAAAATATTAAGATTTTAACACCCTGTAGCTACAAAACAAAGCGGAATTGGACCTATGTTGATATGAAAAATAAATCTTATTTTTACGTGAGGAATCTCTCCACGAGAGTTGTATTATGTTTTTTGAAACACCCTGTATGTACTTGATATGTGATATACGCGTCGATATTAGTTTTGTGACTTTTGTTAACATTTTAATACGTTTTTTCCACATTAGTATACCACCGCATGCACCATAGGCGTAGTCCAAGCATTTATCAAAAATACAAATATCCCTTCAAGCAGCTATATTAAGAAAAATATGTGCCACGGCACTGTTTTGGAAGTATGGCAACGATTTGGTCTCGTGTGTTATTAGTCCTTGTCTTCTTTAGTCATTGGTCTTATATTTTATGCATTTGTATGAAAGTAATTAAACATTATAATACAGAAACTTTCCTCATATCGTTGACTGATTCCCCATTCGCCTACGAACAACTTTCCGAGTAAGTTTCGTCGACGGCTGATCCCGTGACAAATCATAATGTTGCGTGCAGCGACACAACCGAGCCGACCCAAGTTTTCCGAAGGAAATTCGGGAAAGCCGCCACAAGAGCTTTCGCCGATTTCCGTGCCGATCGTCTTTGTTGTTTTGTTGTTTTCCGTGGCGGCGACGACATGGAACTACACGAAACCCTGGCCGAATCGGCTCACTTAAAACTTTAATTTCTGGTCGCAAAACGCGACAACAATTAGTGAGAAGTCGAGCTGTAATTTTATCAGACAACTTTTTCTCCTCTAAGCAAAAACTTGGCTTAATTTTTGTGTTGTTAGTTTTTGTTTTTTTACAGCGGCGAAGCTTCCATCGATGCGGGTGATGAGTAGCATCCCTTCAAACTATTGTAAAACGTTTTTATTTAAAAAAATCACTGAGATCTCCTATAATAAATTAAAATTCTGAGCATATTTATTCAAATAATTACAACATTTTGTTGATGTCAACAAATGAGTCATCAGCTGGTTATCAGCGACAATTTTAGCGACTTTTAATAGTTTGTGTGTAGTGAACTTTATAATATAAACTTTAATACAATGGTGATTAGTTGTTCAATTTTCAGGTGTAGGCGCAGCGATAATAAAGAGACAGGAGTTACGTTTCATAGGTAAATAAAAAGCCCACTCCAACTTTTTAGTGTTTATTATTGAAATCGATAATTATTTTTCTGATATTATATGTACTTGATATGTGCTATACGTCGATACTAGTTTTGTACCTTTTGTTAACATTTTAATACGTTTTTTTCGTAATTCATTAGTATGATACCACCGCATATACCATAGCCGTAGCCAAAACATTTATCAACAATATAAATATCGCTTCAAGCAGCTATGTTAGGCAAATATGTGCCACGGCACTGTTTGGAAGTATGGTAACAATTTGGTCTCGTGTGTTATTAGTCCTTGTCTTCTTTAGTCATTGGTCTTATATTTTATGCATTTCTATGAAAGTAATTAAACATTATAATACATAAACTTTCCTCATATCGTTGACTGATTCCCCATTCGCCTACGAACAACTTTCCGGGTAAGTTTCGTCGACGGCTGATCCCGTGACAAATCATAATGTTGCGTGCAGCGACACGACCGAGCCGACACAAGTTTTCCGAAGGAAATTCGGGAAAGCCGCCACAAGAGCTTTCGTCGATTTCCGTGCTGATCGTCTTTGTTGTTTTGTTGTTTTCCGTGGTGGCAGCGACTTGGAACTACATGAAACCCTGGCCGAATAGGCTCACTTAAAACTTTAATTTCTGGTCGCAAAACGCGACAACAATTAGTGGGAATTGCGACGACGCACGGTCGAGCTGTAATTTTATTAGAAAAGTTTTTCTACTCTAAGCAAAAACTTGGCTTAATTTTTCTCTTGTAAATTTTTGTATTTTTACAGCAGCGGTTAGTTTTTGTATTTCTACATTGATGCGGGTATTCGGTCGACAAATTTATCCATCAAAATTATAAATTCTCGAAAATAAATACATCATACTTCGGATTTTTTATTACTGATTTTGAACCATCCTTGAACTATGACACGCATGCCCAGAAGGAAATATTTCGCTATTTTCTAGGACGGACTTTTAGGACGACGCGACGGTTCAGAATCAGTAAAAAAAACGAACAAAGTTCTATTGATTGACAATGAATCAGAATATTATATTAGTATTACTAAAACTGACGGTTTTCGTTAATTTTAAATTACTTTGGGAAGGCCAAATAATTTTGTTGGGGATTCCTAAAGTAAAATATATATAAAGTAAAGTTGAATATTCGCTGTCAATTTAAAATAATTATAATTATCATAGATAGATGGATAGATATACAGGGTGAGTCTTAAATAAGTGCAAATATTTTTAGGGCTGGTAGATCTCGATAAAAGAAACATATTTTCTCTTTACCATTTTTCAGATAAGTCCAAAATAACCGAGTTATTTAAGTTTGAAAATTAAAAAAAAAATTGATTTTTTTTGAAAAAATTTTGAGAGTAACCGTAATCATAGAGTAAAACCGTAATTATGGTAATATCAGAGATTAAGAAATTATACCATGGGAGTTCTAAAAAGTTTTCAAAAAATATACAGGAAAATTTAAAAGAAAATGCATGATTTTCAACATCTTTTTTTGCGAAAAAAGAACCTCATAGACGAGTTCCTGGGGTCTAAATATACCAACTCTGAAAATATTTGCACTTATTTAAGACTCACCCTGTATAAACTATCTAAAAATTTTAGAGCCCCCACAGACTCTCAGTTTAACAGAGATAAACCGTGCTGGCCAGATTGCGCATGTTAAATCTACCAAAAAGTTTTATCTACCATACATTTTATTTGCCATACAAGGGAAAAACAAGAGTAGTCTTCGCGTAATTGCATTTTTCTCTGTTTGAAAAATATGTTATCGATATATTAAAAGAAGGCCCTTTACTAGTTCGGTGACAGAATGACCTAACTTCAAAACAACACTTACGAATAATATTGTAAACATTTTTTATAATAATTGTTCAAAGTTTAGTAGTAGCACTAAAACCTAAAAGTATACTGGATAGGGTTTTATTTTTACCAATACGATTCACGCAGTATAGCAATAAAACTACCATAACAATCTCAGCTCCAGTTAAAATGGATAAATCTATATTTGCCTGTGTAGTCTTTATTTGAAATAACTAAATAAATGTTTTTAAATATGTATGTGATTATTAAATTGGTGCTAAGCAAATAAAAATCTGTTTTTCGATATTAATTTATATATTTTCAAATAAATTGCACTTATAACAGTTTAATGGAGTTTTTTAAAGCCAGTTATTTTATTTACAGTATTTTAAATACTCTACAGTTATTTAGAGTATTTTAAAAACTTGAAATCATGTGGACGTAATCTCATAATATTCTACCCAACTCAATATTACGTCTAACATGAGTTTCAAATATATAGGGCCCTAATCGTTCCTAAAAGTAATATTTTTTTTTAAATTGATATACCATATTGTAAACTATTTAATATTTCGGTCACTTAAAAAGTTAATTTGTATTGAATAAATGCCTAAAATTAAAGCAAATTTGGGCTATTATCCTTGATGAGCATACTCTGTGTATGCAAATACTTCCTCCAGATTTTGGGTTCAACCTATTTATTCTCAAATCCTGAAACATTTATATATAAAAAGTAGGTAACTAATTATAATTAACTTTACTCATAGAATTACTTCAATTACAATTAACCTCTATTGGCATAATTTTCCAGGACAAATAATTAACTTCCCAACAGTTTTTAAATGATGTGCAATACTTCCTCACGATGTGAAAAGAAATTCTTTTCTTTAGCCCACAAAGGACAAAAGATATGTTTTCTTATTTCCAGATTAGTTCAGGATTCTCATGTCCGTTCAAAGACTATGAACATGAAAATTATATACCACAAACATTGCAAACTAAAAACGTAATAAACAATTTTATATCGAATATACAAATCAATTCAGTGTTCTTACCTATTATCGTCTAAATCAATGTAAATAGATAATTAATATTTTGAATTTTTATCTTTTATTGTTAAATATTTTTTTGGAACTGCTGGTTTTAGTAATTATTAAATTAAACGAACCAAAAAGTTTGAAATAAAACACAATTCTCAACCATAACCCTATAAAATATTCAAAATAACGCGTATCTCCTGTCAATTTACGTAGGTACCGAACATCATAAAATAATTAACTAGAAAGAAGTGTCAACTCTGTGTTAAATCATGCACTTTTAACGTAAATTAGTTAAGGTATAAGCATGACTTACAGTAATTAGTAAATAAACACACGTATTCGCAGACTTCAAGGACAGAAAACGGACACAGGAACATGAAAGCGGGAGCCTTATACAAAAACCTGAAAACAGAAAAACAATTTTTTATACTAAAAATAACAATGTAAAAATATCAATAGGTATAAAATATAAATATACTGTTTAAAAAAAGCGTCCATTATTCCCAAAGAGACCTGGTTTATAAATCAAAAAGAAGCAAAAAGAGACTTTTAGTCGGATAACATAATCAGATTGAGTCCGATTTATTGCATTATTGACAATAAATCGCACATACTAGAGATAACTAATATTGGCTATAGTTAAAAATGATCTTACCTTGCTGTAAATTGTTTCCATTTTCAAAAAAATCGCCGATCAAAGAGATTATAATACCATTTTCTTGCATCTAAAAAATGTAAAAACAGTGTTTATTTACTACCTATTTTTCATATACATGGGACATACCTACTACTGCAGAAACGTCATTTCCTCCAGGATTCTTCATGTAATATATATTTTATATACTTTATTACCTTTATATTTATAAATTTCAGCCGAAATATTAAATTGAACTTCCAAAACGAAACTAAACGGAATGAATTAAAATGGCGTCGAATATTTCCTAATTTGTTCTAGAACAAATCTGAAGTTGTCTCTGAAACTGAAATCTGTCAATTCTAAACTGTGAAGTTAGACAATAGTTAGACAAAAACAATGCTGTCCTTGTCTAGGCGGCCATACTTGTCGTGAGGAGAATGACAGGAATGACACTAATGACTGTTTCCAATTTTCCTATTTCACTGTCACCCCCCTGCCGAACATCATCGATACCGAACGATCTACGTCTCCGATTACTTCTTTGTTCTGATTGGACCGTTGGTTACGTATTTTACAGTTTCCTATTTTTAGTCCCCAAAATAGCTTTGGCGTGATGATTCGTGTGACGCTTGCTGCCTTATATTTTTACCCCCATCGCGCGTAAAGAAGTTTCACTTCAAATACTTTACTGTGTTTGTAAAATTTGAATTGGAATTACTTATTACATCCCCTTGTATTGACGGCACGCTACGCCGCTGGCCGTATAACAAAGTCTATCTCTTGTGATAGAAAATAATTGCGAGTGGTAAGGCAATCATACCTTACACGATAAATGACACTAATAATTACCGGAGTACTATACTGGCAACGAAAGAACCGTTTATAAAACAATTTCCGATACGAAAAACGACTGATTACGTAAACGAATGGAATCATTTCCTGCCACGTACGTCACGTTTCTAAAGCTGGAAATAGAGGCGAAAGGCGGCCCTATGGTTTGCGCGAAAATCCGGACCGTCACGCTAGGAAATTAGAGGTAATCTGTTTGCTGTCGTCTGTTTAATATGATAATATTTTATTTACCGAATTTTGATGATGATTCGGGAGGGGGAGATTTTGCCCGCCATTTGTCTTGGTTTGCTCAAGCCGAGGTTGAACTTGACAAGGTCATAGACCATAATATTATATACTAAGTAGACACTCTCTTGTTAAGGTGATTACTTGGAAATTCATCCTGAGGACCCTTTCCTTTAAATTGATAAAATTAGAGAAATGTTCAATATAACATAGATTAAATCGGCTTAATCCAATACAAATTTTTCAGATCTACATATATATCAGTATACTATGTTTTTTTTTCTCAGGTAATATTTCGACAGACGATGATAGACAAAAAAAACAGATTACGTCCATACCAATACATTTATTTAACTAAAAAAAGTTTCTAATATTTTCTAAGTTAACTTAGAGTCATCTCTGGTTGCTTTTAACCAGTTTTATAGGTCTATTTCAAAAATGACAGATCATGTTCCAATATTATTGATTTGACGGAACAATGAACGAAAAACGAACGCCGATGCGTATGAACTCGACTTAAGATTTTTGTGAGTTGTCAAACTCTTGCCAAATTATAGGTTCTAATTTTGTGTCAAATTATGTCAAATAGAAATGATAAATATTTTGCATTTTGGACTGTGTTATTACGTGTGTTTCGTGTTTTTTAAAATTAAGTGGAGGGAAACTCGAGGGAAAATTAAGTGTTGACCCAGACCACAGTTTACAGTTACTATTCGGCACCCCGAGACCGTCAGAGACAGTTTGCCATAGATTATGGCCAGAGAGTTTTATTAGGCACAAACAAAGTTTGTATACCATTTCGTATATGGTACCAAAAACTGGACTGTTTGTAAAATAGCAACACACGATAGGTAAATAATATATTTTAGTACTGCAGAGAGGTAATTTCAAAAGGTATTGGTTTATAAAAATTAAAATTAAATTTAATTACCAACTTTGAAGGTACAAAATTCAGCAAGTGTTATTATTAATAAAATATTTTGTTTCATTTATGTTGCGTTACTCTGCGTTCCAATTGTACTACAACTTATTTCTTTGTAAAATAAAATAAACTACTTTGAAAATGAAATGCCAGACACACCTATTATTATCAAGGATCTTATCATTGGACAGACTATATATTATATGGACTAAATGACATCAAAAGTAACTCATAAAAATTAATAAAATTTAAAGAAGGCGTCCATTCTTCTCAATGAATAAGTTTAAATTAAAAAGAAGTATAAAAAAGACTCAAAGTCTCGGTCTCAACGTTTATATTAAATTAATCAGTGACACGTGTTTCGCTCATACGAGCATCATCAGACTAATGCAATAAAAGTAAAACCACACTGTTTTTTTAACCAGTGTTGTTTTAATATGTAAAATGTGAACGTGTGTGTGGTTTGACTTTTATTGTATTTGTCTGATGATGCTCGTATGAGCGAAACACGTGTCACTGATTAATTTAATATAAACGTTGAGACCTAGACTTGAGTCTTTTTTATACTTCATTTTAATTTAAAAATGAATAAACCTATAAGTTACGCCACTTAAAAATAGTGCCTGTTTTACCATTTTATATTCGTATGTAGTTTCAAACGTCAGCAAATTGAATTAATATATTTAATTTTTCTAAATGTTTTTATAACAATAGTGTAAAAAAACGCCGCCACAACATTTAATTTGTAGATTTGCTATGTTTGCCATCGTTTTTTGTTGTCATTAGAAATATACTACTCGTTTAGCAAATATTCGGTGATTATGTGTTTGATTTTGTTATAGTTTGATATACATGTTAATTCATCTTTGATATTTTAAAAGATATGTTTGAATTATATTTTAGCTTTGTTAGTTTTGTAGTACAGTGTTGATTGTTTTACAATTGATAATAAGAAATTACTTTACATTAGACGCGCGTGTTGTCTTATCATAATTTGTTGGTTTATGGTGAACATTTTATTATTTCAGTTCCATTTTTCGAAATTTTAATGTAATACGATACGGTAAGTTTTAAATAAGTGCAAATATTTTTAGGGGTAGTATTTTTTGACCCCAAAAAACACGTTTATGAGTTTTTCGTGAAAAAAAATGAAAATTTGAATTTTTTATAAAATATTGATTAATATCTTCATAATATGGCAACATGGATAGCAGATTAAATTTATAAGAAAGAAAACCCAGAAAAGGTCCAGTGGTTCTCAAAATTTAAGCGAAAAATCAAGTATCTCGGATTTTTGGACTTATTTGAAAAACGGCAAAGAAAAAATAATATGTTTCTTTTATCGAGATCTCCCAGCCATGAAAATATTTACGCTTATTTAATACTCACTTTGTATATACAGGGTATCACAGAAAGAAGTGCAGATATTTTAAGAGGTAGTAGATCTGGTCAAATGAAACATATTTTTTCTTTGCCATTTTTTAAATAAGTTGAAAATAGCCGATTATTTAACTTTAAAAAATAATGACAACATTTTGAGAACCGCCGCTCCGGCAGATATCACCAACTACCTTGCAATTATTCGAAATTCAGATAATCCGATGCCCTCTGTTGCCAAGTAGGCAAGAAATTAGATGCTTAAAAATAGTTAAAAAAATAACTCAACAAATTCGTATTAGATTTTAAAAATAAAACAGAGGAACACGAAAGGAAACAAACAAAACAGGTAAAACCAATCAAAACAGGCTTGTCGAGACAGTTGAAGAGCACTCGGGAAAAACGATGAAAATCCAGTTTTTGCTTATTTGATTTTAATGCATAATATTTTTCGTCTTGAAAACTACACCTTTTGGTACCTAAATAAACGGGAATATTGGAACGGTCACATAGAAACAGGCATTTAAAGAACCTGAACCTCCTGAACATTTATCGTTTTTGGACACTCATCGTTTATCCCGCATGCTCTTCAGTTGTTATTAGTTCGAAATAAAGTTATTTTGCAGATAACAATGATTTTCGTAAACCTCATAAAAGTAATGTTTTAGTTAATATTCGATCGTTGGGTTTTCATTGAAAGGGTATGTATTAAAAATAATTAAAATGTTTTTTTTTGGTAGCTATTAGTAATGGGCACTATTAACAGATTAAAATTATTAACATTCATAATTTTTTGTGTAGATAATAATGAAAATTACTATGAATTTATAAATATAGAAATATGTAGACTGTGGATAACTTAAGAAGGTGGCAACCCTGCAAGATTTAGATACACCGTAGAGAAATCTCAGGTCAATAAACAAGTGGCACTAAATTTTTTTTTTAATTTTCTTGAAAATGTCAAGAAAAATTTGAAATTCTCAACAATATTTTTTCGCAAAAAAAACCTCATAGACGTGATTCTGGAGTCAAAATATACTACCAATTAAAATATCTACACTACTTCTAAGATACCCTGTATATTTAATTTGTGTTAAATTTTAGGTATTCGAAATACGGTCAAATTTCAGGGGTGGCTTGGCAACACTGCGAGGTTTAGATATGTCGCAGGCGTATAGAATAATCTAATCCGGCTTTTTGCAAAAAGACAAGGCATTTTATAAAATGCCGGCTTTTTAAACAAAAGAAGGATTTTTTACAAAAAACCTGTCTATTTTCAGTCACTTTGCAAAAAGCCTAATCAGAATTACGCATATTAAACGATGATGATATTTTCTGTACACTTCTGCAAAAAGACTGCCTGTTTTTAGTCATTTTACAAAATAGCAAATCGAGGCAAGGCAAATTAAAAAATGATCAAAGTTAAATCAGCTATCAGCATAAGCATATTGAATAATTTATTCTTTAATAAAAGTACTCATATTTTTCTACACAAAATCAATAATTTATGTCAAAATTTAATTTTGTTTAGACGAAAACAACTTGAACCCTATTTCATAAATTAAATTAAGTAACATAATTTTAAATACAAAATATATTAAAACCTTAATATTAATATCTCATGTAATTCTTTTACTCTGTCTCTTTTAAAATTTCCTAATTTTAAAAGAGAAGTTCAACAAGAAATGTCGTTGGATAAATTTAAGATGGTTACAGCATAAAATGTTTTCTGCAATCTGACTAGTCTTCATTCTTTTGTTAAAAACGCCGGCGTTTTATAATATGCCTTGTCTTTTTGTAAAATGCCGAATTATTCGATAAGTCTGCGACAGATACACCGTAGAGAAATCGGAGGTGAATAAACAAGTGGCACTAAAAAGTTATTTTTTAATTTCCCGGAAAATATAAAAAAAAATTAAAATTTTCAACATTTTTTTTTCGAAAAGAAAACCTGATAAACGTGTTTCTGGGGTCGAAAT